GGTCAACATCATTAGTGACCAATTTGGACGCAGCAAATCTGAACAGCACACAAACGAAGCGCCCAGGAGACTCGACTCCTGATGCCAATACAGGTGATGCAATACTGTAATAAGCATAAATATACGTGACACACACACAGTATGAATTTAAGTATGAATTATATTTATAATCAGCTATTTTATTTCATCATCTTAGATTTATTTTTCTACTAAGTTGGTTTATTAGATTAGAACAGGGCCAAAAGTAAGTCTATGATGCCTTAAAAAGCAACCTCTGTAGCCATTTACATTACAGTGGATATATGATTGGATATAATCTTGCACAGACAAGCAGTTATATCAGACTGGTCAATTTTTATGGTGTTATTTTTCGAGCAATGTTCTGGCGAGGTTATGAACAAAAATTTTTTTAGTAACATTCATTCAAATGTATCTGGTGCTTAATAACATTCTCAAAACGTCAGCACAAAAACATCAGGGAATGTTTTTCTCAAACATTTTAATTGAATGCTCATCCAGCTTTTTTATGTTTATACTTAATAGGTTTGAATGGTTCAATGGAGTGGGATTAGTACAATTAACTAAAACTACTAAAGAAAAAATACTTGAAATAATATGAATGTTAACTGATTATAAAGAATATCTCTTTGGGTTTGAGACTTTAGTCTCTGCAACTTTAGGAATCTTATCTATTCACGAACAGCTTGTAACACTCCAAAGAGAAAGGAAAACTTGAAATCGCATCATATGACCCCTTTAATAAGAGCATATTTTGCCAGCTGGGGTGACAGTTTCATTTTCTTTTACATTTACAGTTCTGTTCCTCCATTTCCTTTATGCTCACAAACTGACAGCCAAAATTATTTTCAGTGATAATAAACAGCGTGCCAAGGATATTGTCGATCAATAACAAAGATGAACTGACTTTATTATAATCACTTATTAATCCGACAGACTATTGTACACTGGGAAGACGTGTATGTATTACTTACATTAAAATCAATTTATAATTAACTCCAAGGACAGAAAGAGCACAAATGACATATGAACAGCTTCTTTTCATTCCACATTCAGTTGTAATATTACTATCCTGCATGTTTTGTCAGTGCAATGCAATGAAGTCACAAAGATCTGTCAGACTGCACATGACAGCAGCGCATGTTTTATTAATACTTCATGTCCATTTATTTGACAAAGTCATGTAAAATGCAAAATAATGTACAGATAGCTGATCATTAACACAAATTAAGCCCATTTCTCCACTCCAAGTCAATGTCCTGGGTCTTTATTTTCTAGTAATGACCATCTGACTGCATAATTTATAGTAACTTCAGTATGTAAGAAGTGAATTTGCACAATTTCTGGACAAGTACAAATTCTGTCAGTAACTTTTAGCTCGATTCAAAGACAATGAAACGGATCGCAGGTCTAAAGCATTGCATCCGGCAGTCAGTGTGAGAGGATAACGGGGATTACAGATGAAACGGCTCAATTACAGCACAAAGTCTCTCCTCTGTATCACTGTTTACAGAGCACAGCCTCACAAACGCTGCTTCTGCAAATCCGACAAACCAATTACTGCTTCAAACAATGGCAAACTGGAGTTTTGGGACTAGAGATGTAGACAGGAGTGTTTGGGAAACCTGTCTGCCAGTGAAATCAGAGTAAAGGCATTAACCCTCATAATGCATTCGGGTCCGTTTTGACCCGGAAGAGATGCATGTCAAATTTTAAAAAAAAAAACATAGTTTTTAGTAAGCGAAGAAAACTTTGCAAATGCCTTAAAGGGATAGTTCACCCAAAAATGAAAATATGTTGTTTATCTGCTTATCCCCAAGGCATCCAAGATATAGGTGACTTTGTTTCTTCAGTAGGACACATATGATGATTTTTAACTCAAACCATTGCAGTCTGTCCGTCTTATAATGGAGGTGAATGGGAATCACGGCTTTGAGAGTCAAAAAAACATACACAAACAAAACCAAATTAAACCCTGCGGCTCGTGATGATACATTGATGTGTAAAGATACGAAACGATCGGTCTGTGCAAGAAACTGAACAGTATTTATATAGTTTTTTACCTCTGATGCATTGCAATGTCTGAACTGTCCAGAGCGCATCCTGAGCGCGTGACACGCTCTCAAAGCTGTGATTCCCATTCACCTCCATTATAAGACTGACAGACTGCAACGGTTTGAGTTAAAAACCTTTGTTTGTGTTCTACTGAAGAAACAAAGTCACCTACATCTTGGATGCCCTGGGGGTAAGCAGATAAACATCAAATTTTCATATTGGGGTGAACTATCCCTTTAAGACACTCAAAGTACACATTTATTTTGCACATTTAGTTTCATGTTCGGGTCATTTTGACCCGGGTATGTATGAAGTACTGTTGGGTGTCAAAAATACTTTTGCTAAATGATCTATGAAGTTATATTAGTCTCAAAAACCTTTGTAAACTATATTCTGCCTTTTCCCCATATCTCACACAGTTTTGGGACTGATTTGTGTTGATAAACATGTATATGCATAATATGTCTATTGACAAACCATTGCAGCATGAAAAACTGATTACTTTTTTAATCTGAAAGTGAAAGTTTAAAATGAATTTATTTATTTTGCTTGAAAACTTTTTGGAGTAGTATTTATGTTGTTTTGATGTTGGTTTGTTAGAAATATGTTGGTTTCAGTTATAAATTCAAAGGAAATTCTCAGATTAAGTGTTTGTATAAATTTCATATGATGATATATTCCAATAAGATTTTATATATATATATATATATATATGTATGTATGTATGTATGTATGTATGTATA